ATTCCCCATCACCATGTACGGATGTGAGAACTGGACAGTGAAGAAAGCCAACAGAAAGAAAATCAGCTCATTTGAAATGTGGTGATAGAAGTGTGTTGAGGAAACCGTGGATGGCCAAAAAGACAAACAAATGGATCCTTGAATAGATTGAGCCAGAACTCTTCCTGGAAGCCAAGATGACAAAACTGAGCCTGGCATACTTTGGCCACATCATGAGAAGAAGCCATGACTCACTAGGACACCAAACTAAACAACCCAGGAATCAGGAGGAAGCAGCCTTGGCAGTTATAGTGCTATAACTGGGTAGTGTGTAAAGGCCCACACTGGGGGAAGGAGGGCAAATTAAAATGGTGTAGCCAAAATAGCCAGTGAGGGAGAGCTGGTTGGTCTAAAAGTGAGCTTTTAGTAGTTTAGGTAGGACTTTGTCAAAAGAAGTGAACTCTGAAAAGAACTCTGAGGAGGAAAAACTCCTCCCAGCTCTGCCTTGCTCAGGATGACCAGACATCCTCCTTTTCCAGGGCCTGCCCTCCATTTCAACCTGGTGGCCAGGAGAAATTTCAAAATGTCCTCCATTTTGAGCATGACTGTGGAGACAACAGGCAGACTAGAACCTAGTCAATGGGAGCGAAGCCAAGAAAAGGTGGGGGCTGCTCCCCAGAGCAAGTATAAAGAGGGGCAGAGCAGTGTTTGGAGTTAGGGTTGATGTTTTAGTGTGCCCTGAGGGGTGAAGAGCCTTAGTGGCAAGGTTATACTGCTGAGAAGGGCAGTTAAAAAGAGTTTTAGGTATCCAAGATAGGGACAAGGAGTGTCCTTAATTAAATTGTGGTAGTGTCCTGCGGGAGATACAGTGTTTGGTGACTAGTGGAGTCACAGTTAATGGGAAAGGTTAAAAGATACATAAGATTAATAAAGGTTCTGAGAATTTAGTTTGTAAGGGAATATATATATAAAGCTATAAAGAAACAATTACAAAGACAAGTTAAACTGTTAAATTGTGTAACTAATAAAGTCTTTATACACCGTATCTATTGTGAACACCATCAACTTAGAGAGATACTGTATTCAGCCTGACTTGTAAATAAATCTGTTATTCTGTTTCAACAAGCAGATGTCTGGAGTGATTTCAGAAATGCGGTCGCTCCTCTGTTTTCGTGGGGGATCTGTTCCGAACCCCCCTGTGCAAAAAAAGGAAATCGCCAATATTCAAGCCCCATTGGATTGAATGGTGGTGCATTCCCATGGATGCACTTCCCATTTTATCCCCCTCCATTTGCCACCAACGATTGGGCAATGGACACAGACTCCAAGTCTGCAAAAATGGAGGGGCAACTGAATATTAAAAGTGCTACCAATAATGAGAAAAGCCTTTTAGGTTTGGGACACATTAGTGGGTGTGTGGCTGTCAAAGAATAGTTGGTGCCAAGCTGGGGGGAAATTTGAAACCCAGAGGGCTGGCATCTAAAGAGAGTTATAGTGCAGGAGACACTTAAGGGAGGAGGAAAAGCTCCTCCCAGCTTTGCCATGCTCAGGGTGACCTGTCCTCCATTTTAACCTTCTGTCCAGGAGGAATGTCAAAATGTCCTTCATTTTGAACATGTCTAAGAAGCATGAATTTATATTTATATTAATGTCTTTAGCTTTTACAATGGTCCCTCCACATTCACTGGGGTTAGGGGCGCAGGACTCCCGTGAAAGTGGGAATACCACAAATAATAAAAAAAACGCTACTTTTTAACTGAAAGAATATCTCTTTAGGAATCTCTAGGTCCTCCAGCACAACTCTGTGGTCAACATCTGCCAGATGCTGACCCACAGAATTATGCTGGAGGACATACAAATACAAATCTCTAGAGTACATACAAGTGCCTAGAGAAAGATTTTCTCTAGTCATCTCCAAGTCCTCCAGTGCAACTCTTTTGTCAATTTCCAGCAAAGTTGCTCTGGAGGACTCAAAATTCCTAGAGAGAACATACTAATTAAATCCGCAAATAATCAAATCTGCAAAAGTCAAAGCCGCAAATATGGAGGGTTGACTGTATTTTGTAATGTCCTACATTGTGCAATGCCTTGTCCTCCTTTGCAATGATGACATCTGGTTACCCTGGCCTTGCTTTAATCATTAGGCTGTAGTGACTGGTATTTCAAAAAAAAAAAAATCTCATGTCCTAAATCATAAACTCATCACACCCACATTCCATCTCTATTATGGTTTGTTAGGGCAAGGCACCCTCGGAATGGAAAGGAGGACACACATGAAATGATGGGTAACTACTGAT